TTCACACATGAAGTAGTTCACTATTTAGAATTTTGGACTAAGCTCACAGTTCACATTGATTTCTTCTGGTTTTTTTTTTTAAATGAGCTGTGTTTGACTTGTGTTTGTTGGCTCAAGGTCTTGCTCTTTGTTAATGATTTCTTGTGATCATCAGTCACTTAATGAGTTGACTTTCCACAGTTTTCCTCTCTCTTCAGAGGTGCGCCGATGTATTAGCCCCAGTGGATAAGGAAAGTGCACATTCAGTAGTTGAATGGACTCTTTTAGCTTGTTCAGGCACAACACTGCATAGCTGGAACGGTTAATGATGACTATCTACTCTATTCTACTAATTCTGTCAGCACTAGTTCATATCCAGTCAAACATTTTTGGTGAAGCTTCGTTTACAGGTCTGTGATTGCAGAATACTTTTTTACAGTGCCCCAGTTCATTTAGTTATATTCCTAAAATAACTAGGGAATTTGGCACAAATTATTGGTAAACAGTTTAATATGTAATTTGGTGGTCTTAATAAACCTGCAGTTAAATTATAATATAAAATAACGTACATTTTTGGGCTATCAGAAACAGGTTGTGAACTCAATATTGACCCATTGTCGCCTTTTAAGTTGATATTGTTCGGAAACAGTTACAAAGCAACCTTATCATTCATCTGGAGTCACGTTTGTGTCCACCTGATGAATATAAGTCCAATATTAACTCTCTCTTAGCTCTGTTTTTGGTCTCCACCAACTCCTGAGGGAAATATCTGTCTCTTTAGCTGCTAAATGCTCCACCAGTTCACCAGTTACTCTCTGACTGTGTTCTTATCTGGTGCTGGGCAGTTAGTGTACAGTGAGTTTTTACAGCTTTTCTTCTGAAAACAGCTGAAAAGGACACTATGAGAGCAGTGAAAGTGAACTAAAACGGTAACGTTGTGGGCCAGACAGCCTCACAATGAGCTGAAACTCACTATGAAGTTAATTTTGTCACTCGAGCTCTCAGTGTCCTTGAGTGTTGTATGGAGGTTGAGCAGGAGGATGCAGATTAAAGCCTCATCAGGCAGACAGACGCTCTACTGAAGTGTCCTCCAGCAAGACACTGTGTCATTGCCAGCCTCACTGTGCTGAAGCTCACCTCTGACCTCTCTGTGGAGGGGTGTTGAACACAAAGGCAATTTCCCCACAATGATCAATAAAGCATCACATTACCATCCTCTAAATGGGCACCGATGTAATGTGTCATAATTTGTGTCATCAATCATCCTGTCAGTATGTGAGTGTGAGGTTTTCATCCCGAGAGACGGAGCTTCTCTATCGATTGTGGTGCAAACCCAGGTTTTTTTAGGGTTAGTTTGTTTCTGCTTTTGTCCAGTTTCAGGGGGCGTTTTGTCTGTTTTTCTTTTTTATTAACATTTTTTAAATGGTGTCTTTCAGTTTTTCTGGACTTTTCATGTTTCTTCTGTAATGGTTTTATTTTGGTTTTTCTGTCTTTTTTCTCTGTGTTTTTATTTTTCTCTGTTTTAATTTCTGTTTCTGTTTTTCAGTTGTCTGAAATAACAAAAACGCCAATGAAAAGTTGGCTGGTTGTTCGGCAAATAATGAAAAGCACACAAATGGCGAATCGAGGCATTTGCGGCTCAGCGTCTTGCTCAAGCACACGTGGACAGGAGGAGCTGTAGATCGAACCAACAACCCCTGGGATTAATGGACACGCTGTACTCCAAATAAAGCAGAAATTCACCACCAGCACAATTAATTTGACAGCAGCTTAGACAGAGAAAGTGCTTTAGGGGTTTCCATTAAAGTTAATTTCTGTTTCTGTGCTTCATATTTGTTTCCATGACCTGTTTTCCACTCTTTTGTACATTGGCCTGAATTCTTAGAGTCTGTAATGTGTTTGTTCTCTTGTTTTTATCTGTGTTTACATCCCCTGTCACTCCGTGGAGAGTCGAGCGACAGACCCACTTAGCCAAAGAGTGTTTTTTTTAAATACATTTGATTTGACTTGAGGAGAAACTGGCACTTAAAAGGCTCCCAACTGCTATAAATAAGAAATAAACAATAAATAAGCAGACTTATCGAACCCCACAGTGGGTCTGAGACCAAATACAGTGAATTATCGTAAAGCCCAGAACGGGGTTTACGAAGGTCTAGCAAACTGCAACCAGATGACAAATCACAGAACAACGTAGGGGAGGTGGCGCGGTAGGGGGGGGTCCCTTAATCACTAAACAGCTGCCTCTATAAAGCTTAAAGATGGTACCTAAAACCAACATTAACTGAAAGGGGTTTAAAAACAGAGCCATAGGAAACCAATTTCCACCAACACCAAACAAACTGAAGAAAACCTCTCAGCTTTTCTCCGCTCTGCAGAAAACCCATTAAGTTCGTCTGAAAGGCTGCGAGTGGATCAGTCCTGTGAATGCATGTTGTGAAAGGACTGGGGTTTTGGGGGGGGGAGGAGAGCAACAGCCAGAGACAAATCCTGGCAGAGAAGGTGCATCTTGGGGGGGGCGAAAATCCCACAAGAGTTGAGGGAAAAAACCTCCCCACAAAACTGAGCATCTGTCCTCCTGTCGCAGGTGATTATTCTGGGCGACAGGAGAAGTGCCGCCTCATCATTCTGTAGTGAAGCCACCGTCACGTGCCAGAAAAACAGAAAAAAACGGGTGGATTTGACCCCGGTGGCAGAGGAGGAGCGGCTGGTGTTGCGTCAGACACGAGTAAACACTCTCCATCCATCTCGCCTTCATTCAAATCGAGCATCTGCTGTTTGCATTGAGGATTATTTAATGGTCTGAGGGACCGAGCAGACCCAAAGATAATTAAATATGGATTTTAGGTGCTGTTTATCAGGGGTATACCGGTGGTTGACATTACAGGTAATAGTGTTAACAAGAGGAGGGTACACAGTAATTATCTGATTAAACTCAGACGTGTTTAAGATGATAGGCAGGAAACAGTTTGTTCAATGGCTGAAATATTTATTCAAAAAATCATTAATTCACCATCCAGACAGAAAAAAGGACCTCTTAACTGAGGGATAATGGCTAAAACAAAACAGCTGCTATCTCTAAAAGGTCCCATTTACTCAATATATACGGTAGCACTGTGTTTGGACAGTCCGTCTACAGACAGTTTATAGAGTATTTGTGACATCTGCTCATTAACATAACGTAAGCTGTCTTCTGTGCCTAAACCTAACCAAACCTTTATTTGTGAAACAGTTGACTTGTTTATTCTCAACTAAAACTATTGGAAGTGGAACCAAAAAATGCACAATCAGATAAAAAGAGGAAGAAAGTGGATTTGCTCTTAAAGCTCTGTCTGTTATATGTTAACAGGATATGTTAAACGGTTTTATAGTCTTGTGTGTGTCCAGGTGGAGCTGTGTGAAGTCTGAGGGTTGAAGACTACAAGTTTGAAAATGACAAATATCTGGAGGTGTGGAGATGAAGCGAGTTAACCAGCATGTCTGTAGCTGCTCCTCATCTCTGCTTCAGGCTACATTAGCACGTTGCATTGTGCACATTTCAGCACGTTAACGCTCTGCCATCTAACAACAAAACACATAAACAACAACCAAACACAAACATAAACCTTCCACAAATATCACTCCAAAAGATATCCCACAATAGAAATACAGCAGACGCACAAACATACAAACAGAGCCCGCCTGAGCACGAGACACAATCCAAACACAAAAACGTCTGCATCCATTAGGGCCATCCATCCATATTTGATGCAGTTCATAAACCAACAGTCCACAATCTGACATATCTTACTTTTCTCCTCTCATCCAATGTAATAGAAAGATATTTAGACAATGCAAAAACATTATCTAAAAGGTTTGATTTAAGCTACATATGAGATCATTTAACTCACAATATTCACTGATTGCTACATCCTCCTGTTTCAATGTGCGGGGCTAAAATACCAGACCGCAACTGAGCGTAAACACAGTCAGTTATAGCTCAGTTGTGTCTCCACTGCTATAAAAGTATTATATTATTTTCCACTTTAGGTTGATTGTTTCTTGTTTTATTGCTGTTTTTAAAATCTACTTAAAAACTTTTCCCCAACAAACAGGTCAAAAACAAAATGAACTGATTGATTGATTACAGTTATTAGCCAAAGTCAGAAACTACCAGTGGGTGATTGTAATTTCCTACGGCAGCGGATGTTGCAGTAGGATGTTATTATGTTCAGCAGTGCAACCAACGATTAACCGTATCAATCACTGAGTCAGTAAAATGTCAAAAACTAGTGAAAAAAAACAGCCCATCACAAGCCTCCGGAGACGAAACAGCTGGTTTAGTTCAACCGACAGTCCAAAATCCAAAGATATTACATTTAAAACAGGAACTCTGCATGTTAGAGAAACTGGAACCAAAGATTTGGCATTTATGTTTGTTAAATGGCAAATCAATTATTATTAAAATTTTATGTCACTTAATAAATGCATGGACTTTCAGCTTTAATTATGTTGTTGGTTATATTCTCGTGCACTCAGTAAGAGGCTGACATTGCTCGAACAATATGTACACACACACACACACACACACACACACACACACACACACACACACACACACACACACACACACACACAGACAGAGTTAAATGTCAGCAGTCTGTAACACCTGAAAGCTTTTTAGGTTTTATTTGCCGGTGCTGTGATTTTCTCCCCACTTTCTCTGAAACCTGCTTTGTCCTCTCAGACTTCAGTTTGCATTTTCCTACATTTCCCACAATGACTTCTGGAGCCTCTAAGAAACACTGTGAGCCTGTTTTTGAACACAAAAAGAGTGGTAGTGATTGTATCATCAGAGGCTGAGAGCTTTTCTGCTCCAGGCAGAAAGCAGGAAAGATAAAGGCGGTGGCAGCGCTTCAGGTTATGATCCGGTTTTCCGGGGTTTGGATAAGAAGTTCTGCGTTTGACAGACTTGAATATACAAGGTGGCCTCCTCAAACCAGAGTGATGCATCTACTCGAGTATAAAACATGACGTGCACTCACCTTTTTCCCAGGGTGCTGAGCGGCGTGCTGAGGCTGAGTGGAGCTCGAACAGGTTTGCGGTTGCGTCCGGTCAATTTCGCGGCAGTCGGTTCTTTCTTCGGGGACTCGACCTTGCGGGCCGGGCTGGAGCCGGGCTTGATGTTGAGGTCCTTCAGGACGTCGTAGTTGATCTTGGAGGAGATCCTCTTCTGCTCCAGCATCTTCTCGATGGCCTCGTCGGCGGTGTTGGCCCGGATCGGGAGACGCTTCTTATTGGGTCCTCTGGGCTGTTGGGATTTCAAAAAGAACCACAAATTAGAGAACCCACATCATACTGAGCAACAACACCTGGGTGGTATTTAAGATTTTCAGCCTGCTCAGGTGCCAGATGTCATATATGATGGTTTATTGTACAGCTTCAGGCCGAACCTGGAGGGGAGGCGTGATCTGCTCCCCCACACATCTTAATTAACTTTGATAGAAAACAAGTATAACAACTTAAAAAGAAAGCTGGGGAACTTCTGAATGACGGATACAACAGTGTTCCTTCTTCTGCGCTTGAGGAAAAAACATTGTATTTATTGCTTCCACGACAACAGCCATGCCAAGCTAAATGCTAATGTCAGCATGTTAACACGTGCCCAGTGACTATGCATCATTGTGCGCCTTCCCACGCATGATAGACATTAAATGACAGACAAAACAAGACTCCATCCTATTTTAGGTTTCAGTTCGCTTTGCACAGAAACAGTGGGTAGAAACGTCCTTCAGAGAAACTTTTTACTTTAATACTTTTTCACATTTACTTGGGAAAAAGAAGTTAAATCAGTACTTGTATGTGTGTACTGTATAAATACAATTATTCATATACTTTAGTTAGACTGGTTTATTACTGAACCCACCCGTCACTGTGGAAAAACCTGTAACAAGCTTCTTCTCTCAGATTAACAACCAACATCGCCCAGACTGCGATTACAGCACCACATGATTAAAACCTTGCAGTCAATCAAACTTTTTACTCCAATCCTACTCTGCAAATGAGGGTCAAATGTTATCTGGAAAATTCTGTCTTCCTATTAGACCATTTAGGTCCCAGATGGGAGAGATTTGCCCTCTTAAAAAAAAGGGGGGAAAAAGGGTAATTTCAGACCACCAGAAGAACATCTCTGCTCTAGTTTACAGCTGAACACATTTCTGTAATCAGCAATTTATCTCAATTAAGACACCAGATTGGGGTTATCACCCTGTTTCAGTTATTCCACATTCACCTTGACCTCACTCCAAATTACAGCTACAGATCAGCAAAGTTTCTCTTCACGGAAAAACAAACACATTTCATGCAACAGTGACATTAAATCTCAAGTTTCTGAACAGTTTGCTTTCAGGAGATTTAACTTAAAACCCTCTTGTTCAGCCGACAGTAAATTGCCCCTTACAGCAGCAGCTAATCAACTCAGGGTGTTAATTGGTAGAAACTTACTTTATGTCGTGCATGAAAATAAGAGCGTGCTCCATTTTATTTATTTATTCACTCATTTGGCAGTGAAATGACAGTGTGCTGTTGGTTGGATGAGCGCTGTCAGGAGGCTGCATGTCTCATTAGATCTGCAGTTAATCCAGCTAGTTAAAACCAGTGAGCAGATGTTGGGTCTAACAAAGGGCCTGCACTGTGCCAAAACCAGTAATGGGATATGAGAGGGAACTTGTTTAGTCTATCTGATCATCTGTCTGTCTTTACTCTGCATCTGTCTCACAGCGTCACTGCGATGGTCAGTCTCTTTAAATGACTATACAAGAGTCTGACTGACAGTATAAATTCTAGTGTTGACACAATCTGTCAGTTAGTCAATTAGCAGACTGCCCTGGGCGAAATAATGGTTTTATTAAAGGTGTGGAAGGTGCAGATTTCAGATAATAGATTATAGTCGTTAGGTGGTCGGTTAAAAATATGAACAGATTTATGAGACATTATATCTGACTGATGCTTTCTCTGCTGACAAACTGTTTTCCTTTATCTCTGAGCATCTGACCACCGCACTGCCTCCCATCAACTTCCCGTCTGCTGTTACCTTCTTTTCTTTGTAGATCCCGAGCTCCTTCTCCTTCGCTATCTTCGCTTCCTTCTCTGAAAGCAGAAAACAAGAAACAGTCTGAACATACAAACTCTGAGATAACGATATCAATACGACACAGTGGCCCACAAGTTAAACTCTGCTAAGTTCTGCTGGAGGTTTAACTGATAAAATAGTGACAGTGGAAAGGGACATTTTGGGGACAAACCAGCCACTGCAGACAAATAACAGTTAAATTCTGCCTTGAAAACACAACCTGCACACAAATCATGTGGCATCCTGACAGTACCTTTCTGCTCTTTGAGGTAGTCGGAGTTTTCTGCCATCCACAGCGCCGTCTTGATTTTTATTTCTTTGTCACTCAGCAGATACTGCAGAGAGGCAGAGAGAGTCAGTGGGGGAGAACAAGGATTGCACCAAATTACCTATTTTTGGGTATTCAGGTAAAACAGTCTCTTGCCAAAAGCTTTTACTCTTCCACTGTACATACTTGTACCATAAAGCAACCTATACAACAGTCCTGCAACAACCTCCATCATTAAATCCTATGTTTATGTATTGAATGTGTTAAATATTTAGTTTTATTGATACCTGAACACACAGATTCCTCATCCATGGACGTAAACAGTGATGAATTGATAATCTGGTGCCAATCTAAAGTCAACATGGCAAAAACAAGTCTTGTATTTTAAAGGTTATATATATAGTAGCAAACAACTATTAGCTATGTAAATATATAGTGGAGTAATGGTGTCACACTCTCTCTGCCTGTGTTGCTGTTGACTGAAACTGCTGTTTTTATCGTCTATATCGGTGAATTAAGGATTTATTTTCACCAAACCGAGGTCAGTGATTGTTGGAAAGACTAAAAAAGTCGGTTTTGTTAAGCTTTATTTTGTTTCTGTGAAGTTTAAAGTGTGTTTTACAATTATCTGTTAGTCTGGTAGGGCCGTAGCGTCCAATTGTTGTGGTCTAAGATGGTGATGTGACATTTAGTAGCAGTAAATTCATATATATTATATTTAGGTTAAAGTAAGATACTGAAATAGTGTGAGTACTTCAGTTTGGATCTGCAAGTGCTTTATGCGGACTGATTACTACACTTTAAAATGGATAGTTTAGCTTTTGCCATCATACATTTGTTTTTTAGTCTAATCGTATTCTGTTTAACTAACATCAAAGTCCCCCATTTGATTAGATCTTATATTTGATTTTCCTAATTTGTGAAATTTAATTAGTTTGTAAATAACTTTGTAACCTGAGTTTTAAATTATGCTCAATAAATAATCATTTTAAATGATAAAATGTTGAAAGATTCCTGTCATACAATGTAAACAAATTCTTCTGGATGTGCATCAACAACTAATGTTTAAATATATAACCAAAATTCACTAAAATATGTTTTGCTTCATCCTGCTAACAGAAAACAGCAGAGGAATAAGTTCATTTCTAAGAGCTCTTTACAGCATCTTCAGGAAAGAGAATATAGTTTAGTGGTAAGAAGGTACGTTGATGTTCATTTTAGGAACTTGCACACGTTAGACAGTGTGGACCTCATTAATCAGCAGGTACATACCAGCTCTATCTCACTGTCATCGATCCCACTCAGGTCCAGCTCCCCGCTGTCAGCAGCACCATCTGTCACAGAGACAACAATCACAACGGACACACTTAGAAAATTTGCTGTAACGCACATTTTCACGGCAGCTTCCTCGTCCCAGAGGGGTGAAACAGGAAACAGCAGCTGGCCAGACATAAAAAAAAAGAAAAACACACCTCCAACATCCTGCTGCATCTCTTCCCGGTGGAAGTGCTGTGGAGCATCTTCCATCGGGGGTTAATCAGCAAATAAAACGCACTGTGACTCCTGATAAGACGTTAATAGGCTTAACTCGCGTTTAAGCGGATCTACCTTAACACACTTTCTTTTCAATTACGATACGCTTTCTAGATTGCGGCACGCTTTATTTTAAAACAGGGAGATGCTGAAATAGCAATTTGCATTTCTCATGCTGCGACGCCCGAGAACGCGCTCCCCGCTTTTACCTGCGCCTTTTCAACTTCTGTGCAATTGGAGAAAAAAAAAAAACAACAGACATTTTAATGTGTTGATAAAAGAAAGAGGCATTTGAAATCTCTCGGTGTGCACACAGTTCAATTCTGGGAGAGGAAAAAGTTCAAAGCGAATCTGATTGACTTTGATAAAGGAAACAAAAGGAAGGAGCGGGTGCAGGCTTTGACAGTGGAAGAAATGCAACAGCTTTCACTCCAAAAAGATCCTCCACCTTGATTAGCAGTTTTGGAACAAAGTGCGACTCCTCTCTGGCTGCCTGCAGACATCACACAGTCAATCAAAAGGAGTAAAGTTGGAAAGAAACGTTTTAAAGAGGCAGCGAGCGGCAGGTTTATGGGAGTCGTTTAACTTCTGTCAGCTTTCTGGCTTTGACGCGTTCACAGGGGCCCTCCTTCCTCGAGTTCAAACTCCCAACAGGGCGGCAACTTCAAAGTAATGCCACCTGAGTCCACAGGCAGCTTTCCCGCTTCATTAGGGGAGAGACGGGTGCACAGACGAGGAAGAGGAATACACCCATCCTCAGACAGTAAAGGGTGTGTTCTCTCCCATAGCCGTAGAGGAGGAGGGGGAGGTGGGGGGGGGATAATCTAGTCACCCATTTTAGTTCAGTTTGCTATTTAAAAAAAAAAAAGAGAGAAACCGCTCCAGAGGGAAGAGACAGGTCAGTCGCTATCTGCCGGGCCCAGCCCTCTAAGAACTTCCTCTGCGTGAAGTGTGAGGGGGGAGATAAGATGGAGACAAGCCCTGGGAGAGATTGGCAGCTCCGGGAGGCAGAGAGGCAGCGAGACTAAGAGCTGATAACACCGGTCCAACCCCCGGAGAGAGGAGGAGGGAGGGAGCAATTACCGAGTTATTATTCAGCCGCTGCTTTGATATATCTACACTCGCTAATTTGATCAAACCCATAAAATTGTTCTTGGTGAGCGTGTAGAAGAATCTGCAGACCTGAGGATCAGAGCGGTATATAGGCGGAGTAAATCAGGAAGGTAGGGTTCAAATATGAGACAGGAAGAGTTCGTTAATTTCACTTTTTGGGTTTTTTTTTTGGTCCTTGACGATGTAGAGAGTAGATGGCACAAGAGACAACCCCCAGGAGGTCATGTGACAGATGTCTTGGTCCAGACTGGGACCCAAGATGTTGGACCGGGTGCGGTTTATGAGTTTAAACAGAACCAGTATGTAGGATGTAGTGCTGACTGCAACCAACTGAATACAGCTCAGCCTTCCAAGTGTGTAGGAGTTGTTTGTCCCAGAGCTGCACGATATGGTAAAAACATCATATCGCGATATGATGTGCTATTAGTTCAGGAATGATAATCTTTCATTTCCACTGCTGTTGTACCAAACAAACATTGTTATTCTTAAATCTGGAGAAACAGATTTGTAGACCAGGGCGTTTCTGCAGTACTACAGTAACTTCATTATAATGCTCTTTAAACACATTTTACATTTTATCGTAAAATTGCAGCTTCCTGCGATTTGCATCTTGCACTTGATCACCATATTGTGATTTCAATAACACTGAGATTATTTGTGCAGCCATAGTTTGTCCTTTCTGGGCTACTGTAGAAAAATGCCAGTTCAAAATGGCAGACGATCACAACAACACACACAGACAACACCCTACTCTGCCTCCGATTGGCCTTCTTACTCCTCAGGTCCCAACCCAACCAACGAAGGCAACAAGTACTAGCCAATAAAAATGCCTCATTCTAAGGTAACAAAAACACAACAATTGTTATTTTCAGGTTATTATACACAAATGAAAACATATCTATGAATATCATATTCCATTTTTGCCAATAGATCCTCCTAAATGTTACACACTGGACCTTTAAAGCCGTATAAATCCTTGTCGACATAAAAGCCTGAAAGTTTAAAAGCAGTTAAAAGTTATAATTTAGATCAGGAAATCCGAAGGCTAAAGAAGTCTTAGACTACATCTACACTGAACTCAACACAGGGAAACACCAGACAACAACAATGCAGCACAGCTAACATCCAGTGTGGAGTCTGAGAGAAAACCTCCGTTCAGATCAGCTTAACTGTGTTTTAATGCAGCTGAACTCACCATTTAGTTCTTTTAATTTTATTTCTGTTTTCACATAACTGAATGAGCAAGAAAACAGCGATTTAATGGCGTCTCACAATCTAACCACGTTAACCAGCAGTCAGTCCCAAACGGCTGCAGTTATCATATAGTATTAAACTCTACTGTATTAGTTCTATTTATAAAATATATCACATATTCTGGGAAATTATAATAAAGTCAAAATAAAAACTGTTTACGCTCCTTTAAGGGTTAAATCCAGGTTAATGACAACAGCTGCATTTTGCATATTGGCATTTAAAACACGTTAAATGCGACACACAGTTCCTAACACACAGCCTCCGACTGTCACTGAGCAGCTCAGACGATCAGAGACACCAGACCAACATTTTAAGATATAAAATATGAGAGATTTTATAAAAATCTCAGTTTCTCGTGAGAATAACTGTCTCAGTGAGGAAAAAGGACCAAAAGAGAGAGAAAAATAAGAGTGTTAATGTTGACCTGCTCCTGAGAAAGCATTCAAAGCTAAATTTCGATACTTTGATCGACTTGAACGATGTTCACTTAAACTAATGAACTCTTTGTTTGAAAAATGCTGATTTTATAGAAAGAGGTATCAGTGAAGAGGACTTTTAATCCATTGAGGAGAACCTGCAAAAATCACTGTCACAAATTGCAGAAAAATAGTGAAGGACTTTTCTTTTGAGCACCTGGATTCCTTAAAGATTGAATCTTCACAGTTATGATTGAATAACTGAACCTTTCTGTTCGTACAGTGTTTACCTGCACCGGCTGATGAACACATTCCTCCTCAGATTGAAAACCTGACAAAATGTGGGGAAAAAAACACATCTTCAGGTGAAGAAAAAAAAAATGTTCACTTCTTTTTAAAGGTCTGATGACATTGTGTTCAACAGGACGCCCTGTACTGTGTCACATACGTACAAAAATGACTTTCCCCTTTGAGGAAAAAAACATTAATTAAATATTAAAATTAACTTAAAATGTGACTAAATGGACTAAATGAGACTCAAACTAAATATCTACAGACGTCTGAGCTTCATCAGCAGAAACAGTCCAAGGCCAAAAAGCATTTAATGTCACTCTGAATACGAAGAGGTGGATTAAATGGTCTCATTAGCAGGAAAAAGTGTCTGAGACTTGCAGCACTTTCACAAAACTTCAGAATCCTGGAGGAAAACAGAAGTCACCTCCCTGATGACCTTGTACACAGAGAGAAACCCGCTTCCTCTTCCTGTCCAGGCTGACAGGAGCCCGAGGTCGTTTTTTGGCAGCAGCTCAGTAAAAGCTCACACATCCAGCTCTGCATGCAAATCAGTTCAGAAAAAAAGATATATAACAGGATTCCCCCAAACATCTTCTTTTCTTTTTTTGGTTGGAGGAGTTCCTGCTGTCCAACTGTGAATCCCTCAGGAACACACCTCCGACCTCACACAGAGAGGAGGAGGAGGAGGAGGAGAAAGTATCTGTCCTCCAACAGAGTTCTCAGAGGGAATAAATAAAAAAAAAAAAGGAGAGGAAGTGATGGAGGGAAAAGGGGAAAAGATAACGATGGGAGAGACATGAACACGAGTTCACGTCATAAAGTGAATGTTGGGTTGATGGTAAGTTAGTTTTTAATATTTCATTATTAAATATTTTGCTCACATGTCATTTGTATTAAGGTTGTAACCATTAGTTACCGTCCACATAGAGAGACCTTGATTCATGAGAAATTATATTTATTAGCATTAACCTCGAAAACAAGTCAGGGAAAGCAATATTCGAGTGGTTTTAGGGAACTACCGCTCATTATTACATTACAATTTAAAGCTCATGAAGTCGGAAGAACGACTTTCCAACTCGGGAAACGGGACCATTTGGTAACAAGCTACTTTTGCTGAACTTGAAAATTCAAATGAACAGAAATGTCATTAAAAAGAATAATGAGTAGGATTTTCTTTAAAAACCCCACAATGTATAAACTTATATTAGAATAAATACTCTCAATCATCATCATCTTATCTTATTAGAAATGTGTGACGGTGTCCCTGTCTCTTCTTATTTTGCTGTATATGGGGACGTTTCTGGGGGTCAACCTTTGTGCAGCGACCGGGGTCTGAGGTTGGGACTCTATGAAAACACAGCGAGCAGATAGCAGCCTCCGTCTGTCCCCACTGCTCTCCAGCACTAAAACAAAGTGTGGAAACAGCTCTATCCAAGACCACGATTGTATGCAACATTAGCTAGGAAATGTTTTTTTTATTATTATTTATTACTATTATCAAAAGTAATATCAATACTTATTTCTCTCTGCCAACAGTAATTAGTTACACTGCTAGTTCTATTACTTTTCTGCTTCTCTCCACAAAATTATTAGTTGTGCACTTTCTCCTAAACTTTCAGCATTACGATTAAAACCCAGTTTTGTTTGTTAAAATAAAGTAATGGAATATTTCCAACTGCTGAAACTAGTTTCCTCCACGATTACAAAAAGTGACAATATTAAAA